GCCTCACTCAGCCAGTGAGCGGGAACCAGTCTGTATGTGGGATCCGAACCCTCGGGCGGGAGCGCCGCCGCGCTTCCCAAGCGGCGCACTATCCAGTGCGCCACCGGGCCGGTCCCTTGTCTGCTTCATTTCTTATAACAAACATATCCAAAGAGATTGCTTTTTAAAGAGGTAGGTAGTGACATCAAATTGGACATTTATTGCTAGAATGTTAAAGTATTAGAATAGAGAAAAATGGACAAGAATGGAAAGAAAAAAGTTAAAGAAAAAGCTTGGTGTATGTTTCTTTAACCACAAATATAAAACTGAAGAGGATTAGTTTATTACATTTTTAAATTGTATTCAAAAGTCACTATCCAAATGGCTTCACCACTTGGTTTAAAATTCTATTTAAAAGATCATACTACATATTGGAAGGAATCATGAATAGCCAAAATAATCTTGAAAAAGAAGAACAAAGTTGAAGGACTCATACTACCAAATTTAAAACCTACTACAAAGCTACAGTAATGAAGACTGTGTGGTACTGACAGAATGTCTTTGTGACCCTAGGTTAGGCAAACCCTTAATTACTTCACCACAAGCACAAGTGACAAAAGAAAAAATACATAAATTGGATTTCATTAAAATTAAAAACTGAGGGCCGGCCCGGTGGCACACTGGATAGTGCGCCGCTTGAGAAGCGCGGCGGCGCTCCCGCCCGAGGGTTCGGATCCCACATACAGACCGGTTCCCGCTCACTGGCTGAGCGAGGCGCGGGAGCGACACCGAGGGTTGCAATCCCGTTGCCGGTCCCCGGTCCGGTACGGGGGCAACACTGAGGGTTGCGATCCGTTGCTGGACACGGAAAAAAGACAAAAGACAAAAAAAAAAATTAAAAACTGTGCTTTGAAAGAGACATCACAAAAGCGAAAAGACACAAAAATGGGAAAAACTATTTGTGAATTGAATATCTGATAAAGGACTTGTATCTAAAATATATAAAGAACTCTTTAAAAACTGTGCTTTGAAAGAGACATCACAAAAGCGAAAAGACACAAAAATGGGAGAAACTATTTGTGAATTGAATATCTGATAAAGGACTTGTATCTAAAATATATAAAGAACTCTTACAACTCAATAATGAAAACACAAATGTAATTTTAAAATGGGCAAAAGATCTGAATAGACATGTCTCCAAAGAAGATATACAAATGGCCAAAAAGGTCATGAAAAAATGTTCAACATCATTAGTCAAGAGGGAAATGCAAATCAAAACCACAATGAGATACCACTTCATACCCACAAGGATGGCTATAATCAAAGGGAGAGATATTAACCAGTGTTGAAAAGGACGGGAAGAAATTGTGACCCACAGTTGCTAGTAGTATTGTGGAATGATACAGGCACTTTGAAGAACAGTTTGGAAGTTCCTCGAAATGTTAAATAAAGACCATATGACCCAGCAATTCCACTCCTAGGTATATACCCAAAACAAATGAAAACATGTCCACACAGCATAATTCATAACAGCCCAAAAAGTGGAAACCCCAAATATCCATTAACTGATGAACGATTAAACAAAGTGGGGTATATCCTTACAGTAGAATCTTAGCCATAAAAAGGAATGAAGTACTTATATATGCTACACCATGAATAAACGTTGAAAACCTTATGTCAAGTGAAAAAAGTCAATCTCAAAAGATCACATGCTCTATGATTCATTTATATGAATGATCCAGAATAGACAATTCCATAGAGACAGAAAGTAGATTAGTGGTTGCCTCAAACTGGAGGTTTGAGGGAAAATGGGCAGTGACTGCTAATGAGTATGAGGTTTCTTTTGGGGGTGGTAAAAATGTTCTAAAATTGACTGTGATGATGACTGCACAATTCTATGTACACATTAACCCATTAAATTGTAAACTTTAAATGCGTCCACTGTATGTAAATTATTTCTCAATAAAGCTGTTTAAAAAATCATACTAAAAAGTTCCTGTTTTATTGTTATTACAACTTACATATGAATTTACATACACATATCACATGTTCACACATGTTCTTTTATATGTACTAGATATGCCATAAACAGGAAAAACATAGAGCCAAATTTATGTAATAACACTAGTGGGACTTCAAGAGGCTGATTTAAACTGAATGTTACATTAAGAAAAAAATAGGGCTGCCTGTTAGCTCACTCACAGTGTAGTGTTGGTAACACCAAAGTCAAGGGTTCAGACCCCCGTACCAGCCAGCCACCAAAAAAATAAAGAAAAAAAATAAAAACATAGTTTTGGTGTGTACATGTTCTCTCCCACTAAAAATGACAGTAGAAGATGTAAAGGTTTGTAAAAAGAATTTATCAATGAATACTTTAAATTCCCTTTAAAAACTACGTTTAAGGAAAGGAATGAGTCACTAAATGTATTTAAAACACCTATTTCTCTACCTAAAATCTCAAAAGCTGCTCAGCTGAACTGACCTACTTTTAAGAAAAATGCAGGTAAATAGAATGGGCACATTATAATCTCAGTGAACTATAAATAATACAATCATAAAATGAAGCATGAAAAAAGTTTATCTCAGGAGAACATTTTTTGTGTGTTAGAGGCAAATGATAGACTCAATGCCATGAGAGTAAAATTACTCTGGAAAGCTTCAAATATAATGTGCCTTTTAAGGAAAAATTATAAAGGAAAAAAAATGAGCAATAAAACTTTTCAAAGAAAGTTGTGTATTGTGTATTTAACACTCAAATATCACAAATGTCCTTTTAAAACACATTTTTATCTTTCTGCAGATATTGCCTGGCTACACAGGGCCTAACAAGCAAGCAAGATTTTATGAAAACTAAAATAAAAAATGAGCAAAAGGTAAGCTCAGAAAAAGACAGACTTAAAGTTTTTTACTTGTAACAGACTGACCAAAGTAATGAGAGAAAAAAGCTTCCATAAATAACATAAATACATTATATAATGTACTCCTATAACATTTTGAAACATTATAGATATCACTACATACATAATTGTCTTATTTTAAACTGGTTAACAGATTATAAGAATGATAAGACAGACATAATTTGGAAACTCACAAGTCAGGAAATCTCGCCTAGTAAATTTCAAACATTTACCCTCATTCCATACACCAAGTGCAAAAGAAATGCAAGAGGAGAGAAAGATGTTCAGAATGACAAAACACTGGGCTAGCCCATTAGCTCAGTTGGTTAGTGCACCGCCAAAAAAAAAACAAAAAAACAGCCCTGTAACACCAAGGTCATGGGGTCAGATCCCACCAAAAAATAAATAAATAAATAAACACATGAAGGTGTTATACACAAACAACTACTTAAGAATGTAAGGATAAATTCATAGGACAACATGGCTATGTTCAAAAGAATTGGGTTCTTCTTGCATTACTAAACCAAGCTGTTAGTGGGCAGCTATCTCAACTACTTTGAGCCTCTATTTATTCACCTCTAAAACAGTTGGGAAAAAGTAACATGCACAATTGTCACAAGGATTAATTTAGCTCGTGCAGAGAAGCTTCTACCTAATATAAAACCCGTCAGGGGTGTTTACAGAGCTGTACTTTTAGGAAGCAAAGGAATGCAGAACTCCAAGTGATTTCCTCATTTACATTTACTTACTGCAGCACTCTTTCCTGGAAAATTGAAAAAGGCATCAGGACCATACTTTTGAGGCATATGCTTTAACACAGACAGCAGCTTCCCAGCATGTGGAGGCTATGAAAATAATTAACAATTCATTAACCACATTATTCACCATAAAACAAAACTACACATTTTTAATATAGACGTGCTTTAATATACATAAGAATAATCAAATAATACTATAAGCTAAAAAGCATATAAAATAACGAGAAAAGTTTTTCAACTAAAAGAAATAATGCACTCTATGCCATTTTTTGTAATACGTAAGTGTTCGATAAATATGACCCAATATAATTTGACACTTGAAACTCTTGTCCACACTGCAGCAATAATCATCTTTTAAAAATACAAACATCACAACTACAAAAATCAACCCACTACTACCCTCTTTTAAACACTTTTTAATTTAACAAATGCTTAAATAATGCTATGTTCCACTGTTAAAAAATACTTTAAGGGCCAGCCCGGTGGCACACTGCTGCAGTGCGCCGCTTGGGAAGCGCGGCAGCGCTCCCGCCGAGGGTTCGGATCCCACATACAGAAGATGGAAAAAAAAACCTGAATGTCTAATAATAAATAGCTAAATAAATGCAATAAACATCTGAGCAAGGCTTTGCTCTTGCCTTATAAATAGTTCATTATTTTTTCCCTTTATCCTCTACACCTATTTTCATCTCTCCCCCCTCCCCATAAGCAACTATATTAACATGTTTAATCCTTTTA